AGTTTGAGAATAATGGGTTATCACTGTATAGAAGCATCAAAAAATAGCTTTGGTGGGGTCAAAATCTGCAATAGCCAACATAACTTGTAAATAAATTGTTGCGTATTGGTGTTTGTATGAATATATGCCTTAAAATGACAGTCCTCTGTGTGTTGTACACGCCTACTGACAAAAACTAACTAGATTGTGCATAGACAGGAGCTGGTTTCATTATACTTTTATGTTGTCCCTGAACTAAGCATCTCAGCATAAAGTGGTTTCAAGTTCCAGACATAATAATCCAAGTATATGAACACATCCAGCTACTCATAGATAAAGATCTACTTGTCTTAAGGCTAGATTGCATAAACAAAGCCAGTGTGGTTTACTACACTGTGTGGTAACACTGATGGTGTAAATCAGTTTCCCACCTGAAGCATTAGATTGCCTGTGACTGAGAATTCTCATGAAGACTCAGGTATTTATTCTAAAAGGAGAAGTCATATGGTGAGGAAGAAATTGGAACAGATTGGACCAGATCAATTGCTTGGTAGATGTGTCTTTGATACTACTTGGAAGTGGGGGCAGAGTTCATATTAAATTGTCTTAATTATTTCTTGATCATTACGCTAGCTGAAATGCAGACCCTACTTTTGTGTTATGTGGAATCATGCTGTTGATGTTCTTAAAGGCCTGTTTGAAAAGGCTGTTGCTGCCAGGGCATAGACCTAATCCTTAGCCTTTTGCATCATTGCCAAAAATTTGACAGCGTCTAAACCAAAAAAGCTCTTTCTTGCTTCTTAGCATTCACAAAAGCATGAAGACCTGCCAATGTTTTACTATGAGAGAAGGAAACAATGAAAACTAATACCATAGTTGAATGAAACTTTTTTTTTTTTTTTAAATACACAGAGCAAAGGGAAAATCAGTTTTCTCAAGTTGTTCAAGTTTTCTCTTATAGAATAACATTATGCTACATATGTAATGCATCTGGAAAAACAGTATTTTTCAGTGAATTAAGAAGTCATTAGTGTGAAGTAAAAACTTTGTTCTTGCCCTTTAGAGTTGTAGCATGTAAGGAAACGAATAGTTAAAGGTGGTAAAGCATAGCTAGTTAATTCTGTCTCTTCTCCACCTACACATAATAAAACACTGACATTTGATTTCTTGAAAGTATGTTCTTTCTCTAGCCCTGCTGCTTTGTTTGCTATATTTCCCAGAGACTGCAGCCTTGTGAGCTGCTGTAATGTCTGTCAGTGTAAGTCACATTGAAAGACCAAGGCTTTGATAGCTTATGTTATTAACATAAATTGAAGAGAAACATGAGATACACAGAAAAAAATTATAGATCCCGTTGCCTGAGTGGAGGGGAGCCACTAATCTCAAGGCTACCATCTCCAAATGAATTTTTCAGGTTAACTGCTCATCTCTTTTTTTTTTTCTTTGTAGTTTCAAACAAGATGTTAATTAATTGTGTTTTTAATGAAAATAAAGCGTGTGGCTAAATATTGTGTACTACCAAAGCAAAATGCACTTCCTGAGGTGTATGGGTGAAGAAATATGGCACAGTAACCACACTCTCCACTGTCTTTCCTTTTCCCATATAAATAGCCCCAGATAAGTGCTGCCTCTACCTCACAGGTACAAACCACAGTTCTAACATTCCTGTTTTCCACCTGTTGTTTGTACTTACCTCTCTCTCAGCTTAGATCTGTATGTGTGTTTTTGTTTTTTTTTTTAATGACTAATACATTCTTATGTGTCAGTTGGGTTAATACCAGGTGGCATTTATATATATATGCTTTAATTATGGCCAAAAAAAAATAATGTTGTGAGCCTGGTTTTATGCCAACATTATAAAGACAAGTGGCAACCTGTTTAAAGATAGGATTAAGGGTTTACAGATTTTAGTCTGAGAATAACAGCTGAGCATTGACAGCAGCGGGGCGAATGCTATTATGCTGATGCTTTATTAATAGCTTATAGGTGAGGAATGCATTTTTCTTTGCATCCCTGTAGAATCAGGGTGTGCTTTATACCTAAAAGGCGGTTAGGATTAAATGGTCATTTCAATTAGTAGGACTATGAACACTGCTGCTGAACTTCATGTTCCCATCTTGATGTCTGGAGAGCTTCAAGTACGACTGGCACGGACACTCATAAGATCAAGGTCAAACTGTCTGCATAATAAATGATAGAAAATATTAATTCACTCATAGATGTGGTGGCAGAGATGAATAATCTTCATGCAGTTTATCTGTACATCTGGATATTTGAAAGACTCAGTTAATTACAACATATCGAATCCTACATTGTGTTCCTCTCAAAGGTCTTTAAAGGACAGTTCAATGCTATGTACGGCCTGCCTCTATGTTGCATCCATTCAGCAGGGGATTATAAGTAACAGTTTTCCAGGTTTTCTGCTTTCAAGCAAGAAAAGAGAGGATTATGTTTACCTGGGAGTAAATAAATTGTGTAAGAATGAAGATAGGTTAATCCATTTTAGTTTTTGCTACCTCAGGGGCGTGACATTTCTCTAAAAAGTTAATTTCTGTAGGTTGGTGATTAACGCTGACATATTAAAAGTTTTTTTTTTTCTTTTTCTTTCCTTTTTTTTTTTTTTTTAAGAGCCTGCCTTTAAAGTTAGAATTTGTATGAGATTTTTGACAAGTTTTGTGTTAGCAGAACAGTTGAATCGAAGCTGAAAAACTTTTACCTATTGATTTCAGTGGAAAGGGTTAGTCCCATGGCAAGAACTTTTGCCAATGTCCTTCTGAATCTATAAGGAATGTGTCTAACAGCTTTCTCACCAATTTACTACTTAATAGCATATCATACTAGGACTTATACCTCCGACAGAGTTGCCATTTATTCATCATAATAGCACTAGGCGAACAGCATATGAACTACTTCTTAAATATTTTTCTTAAATAATAATTCCAAGCAGATTTGAACCTCAAATTACACTAAAGTTTTTGAAACACATTGAAGTATAATTAAGTTTAATGAAACGATTATTGGGAACTGAATGGAAAGTGAACATCGATAAGACAAAGTCTGTCAGACAAACTGCTGAAGGTAGTCCGTGGTATCTTCAAGTCAAGCCAGCGCTGCTTCTGTAAGAATTTCTGAATTTGTCAGTGAAACTACTGAAATGTTTGCAATCAGTCTACAGAGCAGCAAATAACTGTTGACTTGATGTGGAATGGATTTTACTTTGGAGTAGAATGTTGTTGCTAGTTTCATAAAAATTGAGGTGTGCGTTCAAGGCTTACTGTTTTTAACAGAAAGATTTCAATGGGACTTGCATGTTTTCTCAACCTTTTTTTTTTTTTTTTTTTTTGTGATCACCTATGATCAGAGAAAGAAGCTAAATTCAAGAATTTATTCTTTTACTGCTCTCCTATTGATATATTGAAATACATAATGTTTTTGCTGCATGAAATACTCATCTTTTCAAAAGCCAGCTATATGGAAAAGAGTCCTGGTAGAACTCATCTCTAAGTACTAGACAGGGGTTGAGGAAGCATTTGACAGATATTTTCAAAGGCTGTATTTTGCTTGTGCTTGTATGGAGAGCACCTTTATATGAGAAGTTAATGCTTATATGAAATACCTTTTTATTTACATCTTTCTGATTTCTAGGTCTCGGTATTTTACTCAGCATTGGTACCTAAGATATGTAAGAGATAAGAAGTGAGTCTGGAGGCTTGAAATGGCGCATGATTAGGAGTTTTTTTTTAGTGTTCTGGTATTAAATTTACTACTCCTTTGACTCCATTTGTTGCAATTCTGAGGTTCTGAATAGATTCCTTTGCAAAATGAAAATGAGTGGTTGCGTTTGTCTGGTAGATGAAATAATATCTGTATAATTCTTGTTTTCACATGCAAGCAAATTCATGAGAGTTGTGGATTGAGCTCTGGAGAAGTTCTAATCCCTATAGTTCAAAAAATATACTCGTAATAATCATTATTCTGATTCACAATTCTATTGTGTTGAAACTAAAAAATATTTCATCACAATGTTACCAGGTCAGGCTAAAATGTATCAATCTTTTATTTGATGTGATTTGGATATATATTTTTTGGCAAAGCAAAAAAAGACATATGGCTCAGGTGGGTATATTAGTCCCATGAAAATACTTCTGGGGAAGAAAGGTGTGGTTTAAAGCATTATTAAGTGCACAGATAGACTTCTGATGGACTTTTAAGTTTTTAGTTTACAATTTAAGAAAGACGTACATAACACAAGTGCAACAAAAAGTTGTTTTTATTATTCCAAAGTGCACAACAGACAGTGTAGATGTTTACAGAAATAAATCATATGTTTTTCCATACTTTTTGCTTCAAGCTCCTCTGTTTTGCAATTATCCAGAATTCCCTCATCCAGATGAAATAATTCCTGATGTAAACAATATATTTGTATTTAACTGAAGTCAACTCTTGCTTAAAATTGAAATTACACACAATTTGATTTACCTATTACTTTACCATTTTTAAAACTCCACTAGACCGAAGAAAATGCCCATGATGATACAACTTATAAATAAAATTAAGTTACAAGAGCTAATATCTTACAGTAAAAAAGTTACAAATGAAATAAGTTAAAATATCTGTAATAAGAGAGATCCAGAGTAACAAATTCCCTTTAAATAAACATTTGTATAAGGGTCTCAAAAACAGTCACAACAGCTCGTAGAGTAATACCAAAATAGTGTTGGAAGGCACCTCAAGAGGCGGTCTACTTCCTTCCCTTGCCTCATGGCAGGTTAACTTTATTGCTGTCATTCCTGACAGGTGAACATATTATTGAAGACCTGCCACTACTCCACAGACCCCCTTCTCTCTTCTTTCCTTCCCCTGACTATTTATTTCAGGGTCTATTTATCTTTTCCTTTTGGGAGATTTGCTAGTGACTACTCTGAATCTTGCATTAGTTGTTCTGTTTGCTATGAACATGGCAAACTGACTGTTCCTTTTCTCTTTGTAACAGTTTTCAAGCATGAAAAACGTTTCACTTTTTTTTTTTTTTTTTTTCCCTATTACCATCCATAAGACAAACAACTACACTTTTAAAAAAAGATCTTTCTTCTAAGTCATGTTATTTAGGTCTCTATTCATTCTTACTACTCTTCTGCGGGCTTTCTCCAGTTTTTCAATACCTTGATGTTCTGTGTCCAAAACTGGAAATAATGTCTCATCTGAGACCCTTAGAAGATTGAACAGAGTAGAGGATGTAGGTTGTGCATCATGTCAGTTCTGCTCCTGTTCTTACATCTCTGCTTTTCCATAGTAGTGTGGTATTGTTGACTCATGCTTAGCTTGTATAACCTCAGAGTCTTCTGTGCAGAACTGCTGTTGAACCGGTTGCTGTCAGTTGTGTATTTGTGTAGGTGGTTGTTTCTGTTGAAGAGACATATCTTCTTTTTTCTGGTAGGATTTCATTCTTTAAATTTCTGACCATTTTCCCAATAATTTTAGGTAACTTTCCATTCTCATTTAGATCTCCACCTTGCTTCCAGCCAGTTCCATTCATACTGATTGCTGCAGAATTGTATGAATTCACTTCAGTCTCAGAGGCACTACTGTGAATGACTTTGAAGGTATGCTCTCACACCAGGTTTGCATAACCAGGGTCAGATTCTTCTAGATTCATCCCTAAACCATTTGTGAGACTCCTCTATTAAATAGCATTGAAATAATTCTCATTCTTAAGTTCTCTTGCATAATAAGAGAAAATGCAGCATTTCAAATGCATTGCAATTTTTTTTTCAGAATTGTTTAACTGACTTAGGACATTTGTTTACCCAGGTGAAGGTAAACATCCAAGCATTTCAAGTAGCAAGTTAGCCAGGTAGGACCTGGATTTCGTGTCATTTGTGTCACTGTGTCATTGAGCCTTAGCTAACAATCCTTAATAAGAGAGCACAAGAGTTTGGTGACTTTTAACATTTGAACACAGGATTTTGGCTCTTAAATAAACATGTTGTTATTGTTTAAAGAGCATAATGACTAAGAAATATTTTGCCAACAAAAAAAAAAATCAGAATCTCATCTGAGAGAGGTTTACAGTCCAGCCTGTAGTTATTAACACTATTGATGCTGGACCAGTGCTGCAAGGCTTTTTAGGATAAGTGAATTCTAAGGAGAGATGCAAGGCATAATAAAGGCATGGAGATTGTGAACTTCTTAAAAGTATGGGATAGTATAGAGTAAGCCAAGCAAACTAAGTCGTGGAAATACAGAAATATAAAGAATGAAGGTGGAATAGAAAAGAAGAGGAGGCAAGAGCAGAAGGAATCATAAGCAACATTCTATAGACATTCTATAGAAAGTGATTTTAAGGAAACTAGAAGAAGTAGGGGAGGCCTGAAGAGAAGTATAGTCAGTAGCTCTCCATTTTGGCCTAAAAAATCTTTTTCAATCTTGTCAGTTTCTAAATAGCCTCGGCTATTAACTTCCACTTAAACCTGGTCAGCACTATTTAGAAGAACACATTTAAAGTCAAACTACTATCTCAAGTACCCTTCATTGGTTGCTTCCATTCTGACTGAAGGAGCAGTAGGATGGCCCCAGTCCCCTCACAGTGCAGTCAGTGCTGTCAGTGTCACAGGTCTCACAGTGGCACTCTGTAGCTACTGGGTATGAATAAAAAGATTCAGGATGGTCGCCACAGCCAGGGATCTTCACTGTTTCATACACAACCTCCTTGAAGGTACATGTTTGCTGAACGGATGATACTGGTGGATATTTATATACCGGATCCTGAAAATTACAAGAAGAAAATATTTATTTTGAAATTCATTACAGGGTAGAATTCTTTGTTTTTACAAAATAGAAGACCTAATGTGAAGTCTTGTAAAACCAGTGGGGAAAATCCCACTGAGATAAAAAGGGTTTGGATTAGGCTATTTGGATTGCACCTAGATCCATATACTTCTCCTTTCAGGAGAATGGTTGTGCAAGATAGGTTTCATACCATCACCAGACAAAGGTGCAGATCAATGGCTTGATTCTTTAAATTATTTTCTATTGGAAAAGTAGAGTCTACGTAGTGATCACTGCTTTATTGTGTCTGTTTGCAACCACAAACTGAACAGAAAGCAGAGATCCAGATTCTCATACTTTCAACGCTAGTTATACAATATAAACAATGTATGCAGACAAATAAAGGTCTGAATTCAACTAGTGTCTTTTCACCCTTCCCTTTACTGTTCAGACTGTCAGTTTATCTACTTTCCTGTCAAATAACATAGCCATTATTCAGCCTGTTCTTTCACAAGGCTCATCCTGCCCATGCGTATATTATGAACTGGAGAAATTGGTTATTCATAAATCACTTCACTACTTAATTCTGATGCTTGAAGCTTAAACTTAAGAGTCTCACCCTTGTGAAGCAGTATCCTGAGCACCATGTGGCATTCACTGTAATACAGAATTCACATTCTTCTCTTTCCACTGCTATAGTAATATTGGTGAGCTCACAGCTGTAGCAACAAATTGCTTTCCAGCAAAATAACAGCACATAGCAGTTAAGTGTCTTCATCCTGTGCATAAAGCAGAAAATGGATCTGTATTGGAGAAACATATAATTATTTACAACAGGAAATATTTATAGAGACAGGAATAAATTAAGTCTTCACATTACCCTCAAGTGTTTCTATAATAGCAAGCTTTCAGAGGATAAAGTAATTAAGTAGATCTATCTGTATGCTTATTGTTAAAGGAGTTTGATTTTCCTAAGCAACTGAAATAGTATATCAGCAATCTTTGTAGAGTAAGAACAGCTGAACATTATACTACTTTCAGTGAAATACTTCATCTAAGTTTCAGTACAGATAACGTGTCCTGTCTTTTAGGAGAAAGAAAATGAAACAAGGGAAAAAAAATAAAGAGCAAAGGATAACCTGCTTTAAAAAAGAAATTAATTGCATACAGCGTTTGCAATTTCAAAAAAATATTTCCAGATCAAGATCTGATGAAAACTCACCTGTATTCTACTTGCCTTCCTGGTAATAGCTATAGTGAAAAGAAAGCCCCAAGCTTACCTTTTATACTAAATCATGTGTAACTTATACCTTGTGGATTTGCAGAGAATTAATGCAGCAAGCATTAGTTTGGTACTTGGTGAAAGAGGATTAATGCTCAGCCAGACAGTGAGATCAAGCTTTGTTAAGACGGGGGGAAAAAAGAAAAGCAAAACACACTTAGGAAGTGATCATGAAGGTTACTGTTACAATGTCTTTTTAGAAATTTGCTTGGGTTTTATTTGCTGGCATTTAGAAATAGCTGACCCATTTCACAATTTGGAAATGGGTTGAGAAGCCTATTTTTTTGTGAAAATGCTTGGGTATTTTAACTGTTCTGTGTCAGCTATCAAAGTGAAATGCTAGGGTGCAAGCTGGTCCTCTGGTAAATCACAGCAGAGACATTGCCAGAGTGTTTCTTATCTCAAGAGTATGCTCCTGAGACTTTCAGGATACCAGTCTTAATTGCTTTTCTCTAAGTTAGGTATGAGTGACTTTACTCAGTAGGTTGTGTGTGTACTTGTTTATTGATCAGGGGTCCAAGAAGGCTAGGAGTATGATGTTTTGTTAAACCAAACTTGACATTTCTTTACCATCTACAATACCACCATAGCTCATCACGGTTCTGATTTCTATCCCAGTGTAGGCACTCCTGGTTTCTGTCTGTCACATTGTCACTTTTAAAAAAAATTATGTAAGGGGTATCTGTATTGTGGAAAGGGACTATAAAGATGTCATAATTAGATTCTAGATATGTGTTTTCTGCCAGTGATCTCAGATCAAGTATTGTCACGTTACAGGGAAACTTAAAAATATTTCTAACAGGCAATCATGTAACCCAACTTGAATGCATTCCCTAGTTTGTCATTATAATAAGGTTCTATGACCAGTGTTCCCTGTTCACTGCCCTTTTTCTGCTGTCAAAGCTAGCGATGTGTGCCTCTTTACCAGAATAATGACAGAGAAATAACTTTGTTGAGCTTCACATATGATCACTTCTGGGGAAAATGACTCACAGTAGGACTGTATTTACTATCACCTGCCCAGAACAGCCAGTCTTGCTTTGTTATGACTGTTCTATTATGGTCAGTCTGACTTTTTACAGAAATCTATCCACAAAAGAAAACTAGACAAGGACATGCAGTTAAAAGCATTTCATCATGAAAAGAAATTCTCACCAGCTTATTAGTTGTCCTGCAGACGGGATGCTTTCCAGAATGTCTTTTTACAAGTGAACCCTTTAAGTGTCTCATACTTTCCTGCGGTCCTGCAGTCTGGCCATCTGTTCCAGTGTTGATCCAGTCTGCAATACTGTAATTTGTTACTGAATTTCCTGTCACAACAAAATTAGGAGGTGATCTGCAATTTCTCCCTAGACATCTGTAATAATAGTTTTGTCTAAATGAAAATCCAGCCCAATTAAATGTATAAAGAAGTCAAGAAAGCAGATATCTACCTTTTTACTAATAACATAAACTCTATGATTGAATAATGGTCTTTTCTGTTGTTTAGAGTTCATATAGTCACGCTTCTCAGGAAAGATTCTTGCTAATTTCACAGATGCCAGACAAAAGCTGATTAAAAGTAATTATATCCCTACAGAGTACCTGGTACTAACTTACGCAAGTTAAATAAAGCCAAATGAACTATATTTGCAAAGGGCAATACAGAAAATATGAAATCTCTAATTTGCAGTGGTCTGTTTCATGATCTGAAGAAGTCATACACGTTCACTAACACCATAGTTTCACAAGCAGAGCGTGCAAACTTAGCCCCTGCCGTGCTTTCTTCCCCATGTTACTTTGTTGTGTCTCACACAGCCTCTTCAATTGTGGCAATGTGAATTAGGGAAATCATTCTGATTAAAAGAAAAAAAAAAAAAACAAAAAAAAACAACCAACCCTCTTCTACAGCTTTGCTTTCAATACTGCTGTATCAGCTTGTTCCCCAACAAAATACACAGCTGCAGCAGTGTAATTGATGGGATTGCTTGGGGAGTGAGAATGAGTAGGGAGGTAAACAGAAAATGCTTGCACAGCCTTCTCACTGAAGAATTCGTGAAGCCACGTGGTAACTGCAATACGCTCTTAACAGGTGGATTCCACTGCTACCCTCAATTCAAGAGCGGTTGTTTCTGTTTTCAAGTTGGTGAGCCAGCTATTATCTCTGCTAAATTGATTGTTCAAGTATATGAATATGTATTTTTAAGGCTAATAAGAAATTACAAATTGAAGCCAGTTCATTTGCAATACATCATTCAAGGAGTGGTAATTTGGAGAGTTGTTACTTTGATAGTGACTTTGATATCATTCCCATTCCTTTTCTTGGAAAGATACGTGAAATGAATTCCTTCTCATGTTGGGTAAAGTGCTGTATTTATTTTTTTTCTAAGACCATTAGTTCATATCTCTGGGAAATCCTCATGTTCTAAATGGATCATACTCCCTCAAGTTTATATTACCAGTAGGTTAAAACAAAGTTTATGGTTGTTGTAAAGGGAGTTGCAGATGTTACTGATTCAGGAAACTTTCTTTTTCCCACATATGTGAATATTACACGTAGGCTCTGTGTTACCAGATTTTGTATTGTTTTCAGTAATAGAAATGTTTTCCATTTTAAATGCTTTATACTTATTTCGGGAATAGATGCAGAGGGACGAACCCTCCCACCTTACACGCTACAGCATCTGTACGTGTTAAGTAGTGGTATTATCTATGTAGTTCTTAAGCAGTGTTGCTCATCCCAGATATAGCAGTTGTCATTATGGTTGTTAATGTATGCAGCCTAGGAAATTAAAAGACGTGACAGCGTTTTTTACAAGAAAGAGCAGACATCACATTCATATGGTTGCGTTAATATCTTAGTAGCTTTTCAGGGAAATAAAAAACTTCTCTGTATTGCTATCTTTTGTGTTCTTTGGCTGTTTCCCTTGGACTGTTTATTATTGTAACCTAGCAAGCTATTGTTACCAGTGCTGCCACAAGGGAGCACTTGCTTTGCTGTTTCTAATCACTTATTTCAACCAGAAGTGGTGTGACACAGCTCTGCTCAGTTCTGCTATTGTTTCCTATCACAGAATTTCTAGGTTGGAAGAGACCTCAAGATCGAGTCCAACCTCTGACCTAACACTAACAGTCCCCACTAAACCACATCCCTAAGCTCTACATCTAAACGTCTTTTAAAGACTTCCAGGGATGGTGACTCCACCACTTCCCTGGGCAGCCTGTTCCAGTGTCTAACAACCCTTTCAGTAAAGAAGTTCTTCCTAACATCTAACCTAAAACTCCCCTGGTGCAACTTCAGCCCATTCCCCCTCGTCCTGTCACCAGGCACGTGGGAGAACAGACCAACCCCCACCTCACTACAGCCTCCTTTAAGGTATCTGTAGAGAGCAATAAGGTTGCCCCTGAGCCTCCTTTTCTCCAGGCTGAACAAGCCCAGCTCCCTCAGCCGTTCCTTGTAAGACTTGTTCTCCAGGCCCCTCACCAGCTTCATCGCCCTTCTCTGGACCCGCTCAAGCACCTCGATGTCCTTCTTGTAGCGAGGGGCCCAAAACTGAACACAGTACTTGAGGAGCTGCCTCACCAGAGCCGAGTACAGGGGGACAATCACCTCCCTAGCCCTGCTGGTCACACTGTTTCTGATACAAGCCAGGATGCCGTTGGCCTTCTTGGCCACCTGAGCACACTGCTGGCTCATATTCAGCCGACTGTCCACCATCACTCCCAGGTCCTTCTCTGCCTGGCAGCTCTCCAACCACTCATCTCCCAGCCTGTAGCTCTGATTGGGGTTATTGCACCCCAGGTGGAGGACCCGGCACTCGGCCTTGTTAAACTTCATGCAGTTGGCCTCAGCCCATCGGTGCAGCCTATCCAGATCCTCCTGCAGAGCCTTCCTACCCTATGTAGCAGTTAATGTTTCTGCCTTTTTTTTTTTTTTTTTTTTTTTCACAAAGTATTTAACACAGGACTGAAAACTTTGTTTTGTTTATATAGCTTAAACTAATGAAATTCCTGCCTTCAAGAGAGGTGGTGGTAAGGCTAGCAGTTCTGTTACTAGAAGTCATAAATCTGCCTTGCTTTAAAGAACGTGCTTTATATCTTTCAGAGAAGTTCAGCATCTATAAAAGTACTATTGGAAAACTTGTCTTTATGTGTGTAACTTGTACACTGTGAGTAATAAATCTGACTCTGTCTGGTTAAAACTTATCTGCAAATTATTCCAGCTGCAGAAAAAAAATAGCTTATGTATTTTTAAAAAGTGTCAAGGGACCTTGGGTTTAAGTTTGGTTGTGGTTACATGTTTTAGGTCTTGTCAAATATTATGTTACTGGGAAATTTAATGGTTTCTTCATCTGAGAGCTTTTTCTCATGGCAAGTATGCCTCAAGACATTTTTAAAGATGCTTAAAACTATGTCTTTAGCTAAGTTTCTAGGGACTATAACAGAATGAAGAGCTGGTTCTTCAAGTTGGGAGTTGTGTGCTTCGCTGAGTATAATGGGTTTTGTGTCAAGTTTCTTCTAC